AGGGACTCTTCCTCTACCCAACTCCCTCATGTAACTCTACATACAAATAATCTCCTTTTCCCCCGTACCTGGATAAACAGTAGTTAAAACTAAAACAGAGATCTCCTTGATCTCCTCCTCTGAGTGCCTCTTAGTCTTTAGAGAGTATAGAAGGAAAAGAAGAGAGCAAAGAAGAAAAGAAGAGAGAAGTGAAAAGTATGCTTTTGGGAGTGTTAGAGTGCTCTATTTATAGGATCAAATGTCTCTGGAACGGTCTGTTTCAAATCCGGAACGGCCCGTTCTGGACCCTTAAATCATGAGTAAAAATCACATCCAGAACGTCCTGTTCTCAAACTATAACGTCCCGTTCTTAAATCAGAACGGCCCATTCTGGGGTACATTTAATACTTACAACAGTCATATTTTGGAACGATCTGTTCTCAACTCTGGAACAGCCCGTTCCCAATTAGGTGAAAAGGTCATTTCTAAAAACCGGAACATCCCGTTCCCAACTAAGAATCATAGGCAAATTTAATGGTTTGGAACGGCCCGTTCCAAATCCGGAACGACCCGTTCGTAACTACCAAAAGTAGGTCTATTTAGTAATTTGAAACGATCCGTTTCGGACTACTAAATCACCTTAATTAAGTTCTTGGCCCAGTAAAAATTGGGCTATTACATTAATAAATATATTATTTTTAATTATGATAATTGAATAATTTTTTAAGGGACAAACTAGAAAAAAATAATTAATATTACATTAAAAAGTGAGAATTTTTCTCACGTGCTAATGAAAAAGTTAATATTCAAATAAAATTTAGATTAAATTATTAATATCTTTTACAATCTTTAAGTGAATTTGTTTATTTAAATTAGTTCTATAAAATAATATTTTTCTTTTTCTTTTTTCTTTTTTTTTCAATTTTTTTTCTCAATTTTTTTTCATGTGATCTCTCGATTCTAAAAAAAAAGAGGAACAAATGCCCCGATTGAATTTAAATATCCACCGGCCAGTCAAACGGTGCATGCATGGTATAGCATATATGGCTCTCACGTGTATTTTGAGTAAAACGCTACAAATGTGGGATTAGAGTAACTTATCGTAACAGTTTTCTTAACACCCTCCCATTAATGAAGTTAATTAATATTATTTAATTTTTTCAATTTTAATTAAAGTATTTTTTCCTTTTATATTTATCCTTTATTACAATTTAGTATTATAAACCAAAAATCATTATAAAATGATAAGATTTCAATTAAATAAAAAATATTTTTAAAAGTATAACATTATATAAATAAGATAAAATTAGTTAAAATCATTATTCATTAAAATTTTGTGCCTGTATCTGAAACAAGTAAATACGAAAAAAAAACATAGTGATAAAGAAAAGTAAATATTTGTATATTTTATCTAATGATACTTTTTTTTTTTTTTGCTTAATTACACTTTTGATCCTTCTAATTTAGTGTAGGAGTAATTTTGGTCTTCATAATTTGAATTCCTTAATTTTGATCCATAAATTTAAATAATGGGCAATTTTAGTTCCATAAACAATTTATCATCCAAAATTTAACCGACGTTAATGATCTGAATTTTATGCTAAATAAACATTAATTATATATTATTTAATTTCTTACGTGTCAAATTATTTAATATTCAAATTTTAAATTCAAATTTGTTTTCTCATCCTCCGTACCCTTCCCTTTGTTTCTTCACCAGCACCCTTGCCAGCAACACCGTGTACTCCTCCAGCACCTCTGCCACGATCGCCACTAGTATCATCTCTTTCTAACAATCACTACGAGAATTTTTTTATTGAAATAATTTTTTTTTACCAAAACAGCACCTGTTTCAATTTATTTACAGAAGTAGCACCTTTTACTGTTATGCTCAGAATTCGGTTCTCGGAGAAACGAATTCTGAGTAGTGTTTAAATTTTTTTTTCTTTTCTGTTTGTAGTTCAGGTTGTGTGTTAATGCTGCAACTGGAACAGCTTTGAAACTGGAACAGCTTTGAAACTGGAACGTCCAAGCAGAACAGCCCGTTTTGATTCATTCGTCATTGTGTATTTTTGCATCAAGAACGACCCGTTCTAAAAGGAGAACAGACCCTTCTGCAAGTACTGCATGGAGAACGGGCCGTTCTGAAAGGAGAACGGGTCATTCTGGATCCAGTTTTACACCATGCTCAGATCCAAAATGCAAAAAAAAAAAAAATTAAAAATTCTATTTTAGTGAAAAATTATCACTGCGATTGATATCAATATTCAATACCCTTTTCATTTTGTTTTCAATGTTATTTGAATTTAAAATTTTTAAAATTTGAATATTAAATAATTTGAAACGTAAGAAATTAAATGATATATAATTAATGTTTATTTAGCATAAAATTCACATCATTAACGTCTGTTAAATTTTGGATGGTAAATTGTTTGTGGGACTAAAATTGCCCATTATTTAAATTTATGGACCAAAATTAAGCAATTCAAATTATGAGGACCAAAATTACTCCTACACTAAATTAGGAGGACCAAAAGTGCAATTAAGCCTTTTTTTAAAAAAAACTTTTTAAGATAATCAAACCAAAAATTTTGTTATAGTAAATTCAAGAAAAAAAAATCTTGTATGGCATGGAAAAAGCAACTTATGAGTAATAAATAACGATATTTATACACAAGTATACTATTATTTTTTTAAAAACACATGTATACTAATTTTATGTCTCGTCTAAACTTTATATATATATATATATATATATATATATATATATATATATATCTCTTTTTTT